CATCGGTCAAACATCCCTCTTGGGTATTTTACGCTATAGGTATTCGCATACCAAAGCATAATGGGAACATGATGCATGACCTTAGACTGTTCGCGTAAACAAAATACCTACGAAGAGGACAAGTGGGCACCAAAACATGTGGTATTTTGAAGGATACAAACGGTCACTTTCAGCTGTGAATTCCGTCAACAAGATTTGACCGACTTTGCCACCGAGTAGATCATTTGGCCGATCGATGGAAGATAGTTGTACAGAAAAACAACAACTCCTGATTGGCCGCAACCTCTCTCTCTGTCAGTGCGAAAAACTAACAGATGCACTGACTTCAGAGAATAATAATGCTATGTGCTATGTCCTGTAACATATTTTCAAATGCTCTCGGCATCCACATGGCCCCAGAGACGACAATAAGCATACAGTTGCAAACAAAAGGGGATGTGGTGTGGAATTCAGAAAGTGGACCATAACTGTTCCTTTCAGGTAGGGAGTGACCAGGGTAATGAAAGTCCACTTTTAAATGTGATCTGATTAGGTAATCAANACTGTTCCGTTTAGAATACTTCTTTCAGTACAGCACGGACAGTTTCCAAAAGTAATCCATTTACAGGATGATCGTAAGCGAGCATATGAAACGAACCATGAAGTTTGCTTTAATTGATTGATGTCTGAAGGAAACCTGCGAAGAACTTGTCCGAATCCTCTTTCGGTACAAGGCTCAAAACACCCGCAATATGCACAACACCCAATATTAAAAGCTTTGGTATTCCTCGTACACTCTAGTATTAGTCTGTTGGAGTTCGTCTTTGTGAAATCGAATAATGCCAGTGCAGTTTTAATGTATTGATTGATCAGGTGGAATCAATATACCACTCAAATCCTTGTGCTATCACGTGAAAATCACTCATTCGATTCATGGTATTTTTTCACCAGTCTATCATCATTATCGCGGCCAAATAAATGATCTTCTGTCCACCGGATCAAGCAATGCAACTGGGTGGCACAGGGGTGTACCCTGTTTAGGAAAGGGGCAAAAAATCGCTCAAATACAACAATGACTCTTTCAACAGTGACCGGAAGAAGTAACCAACTGATTCGCATGATATCTATGATGTAACTGATTACGGTTTACGTTTATTAGTCTGAAAGATCGAGGATATTAACAATCCACTACTATACGTATGGATGCACTTTAGGCGGTGGGGTTTGAGCCACGGCAATTTTAATCGCGTTTGATAAATATACCACTTGTTCAATGATCAAATCCAGTTCTTCAAACATAGCTTTTCGATCCGCCGCAGATCCGAGTGGGTCACCCTGTTCCGAGACACGATCACCAACGTTGTACAACAGCATGGAGTGCGGAGCAACCAGGCAACCCAGTTCGGTCAGACATAGACGAAGCTGGGAGGCTGCAATTTGGCCACCATCCGGACCTGAATCGGACATCGAAAGTGCGTGTAGTTCAATAGGAGCATGAAGAAAAAGAGAGACAGAGAGAGAGCTACTTCTACAGAATCAGGATCATGTTAGCGGTTGAGCAGTATTATTACTTTCGGATTGGAAACAGATCGGCGGTCAGGGTGGGATTGGAATCAACGCGTGAAAACGGGTTATGCATTTGCACTGTGTAGCCAGCGTCCATGTGTGAACTCAATCCCACCGGAGTTACAGAGCTTTTCTCAATTCAACAACCTAATTGTTATCTTCTATCACCTGCCAAACAACAGAATTGGAAAGACGATTGAGAAAAATGCCTTATTATCACCAAATAAACTGCCTCCTCTACTCGAGCTATTCGTCTTGGAACACAGTACGGTGCACTAAAATCAACGATTCCAATGATTTGTTTTAGCAACTAATGACGGTATACGTTTTAGAAAAGCCCAAAGGAAAACGAGAACGCAAACAAGCTGGTTTTCAGCGTTTCACCATCGCCCCGTGCCCGTACCGACTGGTCTTGAAGCACCGAAACAAACGATACTGAACTATTAGCAAAAATCTACATTCAAAGTAGGGAAAACTTGTGATCCAAAGTTTTGAACATTTTAACTTATTTCTCGTTTCTACCGTAAATGCCAATCCATTATTATTCATGTATATAAGTATTGACCAAAACTTCGTGCAACAGCACCCCGACACTTTCATCACGCATTTGTTGCTCCCAACGCTTTTTGTGTCGAGCCTCATTCACGGGAGGTCGAACTGTGATATTGCCCCATATCGAACGAGACATATCAATACTAATATACAACTAAGGTTTATGCTTCGATTAGTCAAATAACAATAAAACGTAAGATTTCTAGACTTTGGTGACGGTTTCTGGTACAACAGTTTTGAGGTAACAAAGCCTCAGTAAAAAAACGCAATCAAGGATTCTCTTAAGAAAACAGATCACTTACATCATACAGGTATTATACTTCCATTTGGACAAATTTTCCATTTGTCCCTCTTTAGCTTTGACCACGCGAGGTTGTCTTTTTTTTCATGGAGTACACCAAGTTTACTGTACATTAATATTGGCCATTTCTCTCTGATACATACAGCGCTCTGGTTGTGGACAACCAGTGTCAAGGTAGATAACTTATCCTTGTTCCTAACGCAGAGCTAACTTTTCCTTTACATTTAAATCTCAAATATTGGCCGGTAATCGAATGAATTTGACATCGGATCTGGGCCCTCGAGAAACTGCATAAATGTGACGAAGTTTTATTTAAGTGGGTCTAACCGTTTTTCACTACCAATCTCGGGTTAGAAGACATACTAAACTTTATCTTGGAAAACTTTTACTACCATGAATGCATTTTGAGAGTAACAGTTATCGGAAACGTGCCTCATCCGCGCAACAAATTTTGCGATATCCAGAGTGACACGTACAGGAGGCCAACAACAAAGACCTCATTATTTGCTTTCTTTCTAACTCATTAGGCGGGGTAAAAATTTACTTTTTGACAAGTGAAATAAAATTCATTGGAAAACTATTTCAACAAGTCAGCTTTATCCACCTGCCCTATTGATCGTTAAACAGCAGCGACTTAAACCCATTGTCAACTGGATGGGCGACGCGATTTGAATTGGTTAGTAAAATCAATAAGCCTTCTCCTTTACTGGGCGTTCAATAACGGCTTTATATCAAGTGGCCTGAGGTGCAGTTCAAATCAAGAATCACCATTTTTCAAACGGTGGCATGCGAAAATTGCAGCTGATCCACCCGGACTATTCTCCATATTGGTTGTGTGCAATTCTTCTCAGTTGCGATCGTATCCAACCATCGTCTTGCTGCGATGTAACTGGGTTTTGCCCTCTTGGTTTATGTCTTGAAACGATGAACTTCCATGCTGCTTTGCATAAAATATTTTTTTAATTCTGATCTGTAACTTTCGAACCACTACTATCAAGGTCACGCAAATTCAAACGGGAAAGCAAGAAAACCAAGAGCATAGCAGTGGGAGATAAAGTCAGGACTAAATACTCTTCATCCATAGCTATCGATATGCACCTATGATATTGGAAACTGAAGTGTATTTTCAAAACCAAACTCATGTTGCATAAGTTTAATCAATACCTATATATACATATACGTGTATATTGTGTTGTACTGGAGTGATTTTGAAGCACACTGAAAACGAGTTTTCTTGCCAGTTTGTGTTCTCATCATGTATTCTGCTGGATGATTTGGACGTGACAGAAGATCAATCATGTGAACAAGGAAATTTCCCCATTGAATTCTTGTTGTTATCTTGTTTCACATTTTATCCAATGCTAATGTCTGCAGCTTTGTATGCTCTATAAAATTTAGATATTTGCGTGAATGATAGGTAAATCTAAGTAAGTTGACAAATAGGGGATATCTCAGCCCTATCCTTGCACTTCTGTTTATCAAAAAATAGAACAATGTGAAAATGTTGCTAAAAGTAAGCTCTACTCGGCCTCCTCTTTCTCGACAAAGCTTCAATTTCAGTGCACAACTCACATACTGATAGTATATTCGCCCACAAAATTCAAACTTCACAACCTCCCTGTCGGATTTAACCAATGCTATTGTAAACAACACGGCTTAAATACATTCCTATTTTTATTTACTCAAGATTAATTATCCACTGATCAAAATGTTATCAGATGACGCAACATTTAGCAAAAATAGTGGAGATGGATAGAACGAGGGAATGTGTTGGTCTCAAGCGGCAAGGAAATCAACCAATGTGAAGTACGTCCAACGTGACATTTGGCTCTTCACGGGATCACATCCTGAGGAAGAAAGTTTTGGAAAACAAGCCTTTCGTCTGTGTCACAACACGAATGTTAGGTTCTTTTACCAGGATTATCTGGAAATGCGGCTGTTTATTTCTATTATTTTGCAATTATATCAATACCTGAGTATATATCTATATCAGTAGTGAAACAAAATTTGTGCAACTTATGCTGTTTCGCGGATATAAAAAACCGTTATCTTATGTTTGTGCTGTAAAGTGTGCGAGGCATCCATGACTAGGTCCGAATCTCATCAAGGTTACTGATAATTCCCCAATTAAAACCTAGAAATGTTTTAAGATAGATAAAATTCTCATCACAAACTAATGGGGATTAGTTTTACCCTAGGACTGGATATGTTATTTGCAATCATCACACATTTGTTTATTTATTCATCCGATTCTCAGAACTACTCGGACTGTGGGTTTGTGCAGAAGCGATGGCCCAGAGAGTTTAAGCGCATGCACTCATTGACCGGATAAGTGAACAAACAGAGACTGTACAGACGCGTTCCGGTTCACTCCGTTTATAGGATCATTGCGGGTCCCACTTGTGGTCTTCAGACGTAAATTGATCGCCAAGATCCCTTGCCCGAAACAGTTTTGTTCGACTCCTGATGCATTGGTCAGAGTACAAATCACTCAAAACTAGCACTTCAGCGCTGTATTGGACTTACAGTGTATTCCGGCGGACTGCTCAAATCATGTGCAGGTTATTTTCTGGGAATCACTTGTCTATTTTTGATTCACGGGTCAATTCACACGTACGATTTGGCATTGATTTAAAATCAGCAAAATACTTGAATTTGAATGATTTCTATACAACCATACCGAATTTCACATAGTTTGAGAAAAACGAAATTGGCATACATAACACAGAAATCTCATCAGAAACAGACCATCGCAAATCATGGCAGCACAACAGATAATGAATGTAGCGAACGATAGTTCTTTTTTGAGACAACAATTTGCCCTCGGTGATTTGCTCATTTTTGATCGTTGAATTAAATCACCCACTATGTTACCTACTACTCACAAGTGAATAGTATCTCACAACACTTTACTCGTGCTCTTGTCATCTGTGAGTCACTCTATCTCTATGTTCTCACTTTGTTGTTTGTGAGTGCGTAACTGTAGGAGAAATTTGACAGAAAGGAGTATGACCCGGTACCCCTTAAGGGAAAAACGTGGGGTTATGTGGTGATCCAGGCATATACAATGGCGCCTACCCTGAATTGAAATTCTTGAGTTTCACAGTGGATTCAAAAGGCTATCGCCCTGATCCAAGTCGCTTTCGCTCATTGATTG